GAATGATGGAGAAAGAACAGCTTCGTTATTACGAGGGGGGTCCAATAAGTCTTCGGTCTTGGTAGGAATGAATCATGATACAGTATTGAAATTTCGCTAGCCCTTAGACAATTTCATTGGAACACACCATGCGAATTTTAGGGGCAATCTGACAATAGCAAGGCACTAGACTTAGCATGTTTGATGAAACAATGCACAAAAACCTTTGGTTTTTCTTTGCTGAAGCTGTGCCATGGAGCCTGTTGGATATCGCTCAGTTATCAAGTTTTTATACTTGTAAGGAAACTCCTCTTTGAACATTTTTCAGGAAATGGTTTACGGTGACAAATTTCTTCGTTATAATACTGTGACTATCTGGATGTATGTCGGTGATGGATGAAGATCGTAAAGGGCGCTAATCCTTCGTGGTAACTAAAAAGAATGTATCCGTAGGGAAGAAACTGGTTTTACAAGACCTACGTACAGCTGATAAACAGCTCTCAAGTGAAACGGGAATTAGTGTAGGGTTAATTGAAACGATTCTCCATGACCATCTAAACATGAATAAAAGGTGTCTGCGCGGTGGGTACCCCGTCTTTTGAGAACCCCGTCTTTTGACAAAAGAGTAAAAAGAAGCAAAACTCTCCTTCGAATTGAGCACAATGACACAAATTTCTTTAAAAACATGGTGACTGTCGATGAAACAAGGATTTATCATTTTGAACCAGAACAAAAAATGTCCTCCATGCAATGGAAAATCCCTTCTGCTCCATCACCAAAGAAGGCAAAAGTAACCTCGTCAAGTGGAAAGGTCATGCTGTCGTGTTTCTGGGATTGTGAAGGTATCATCATGACTGACTACCTGGAAAATGGAAATACAGTCACAGGGGACTACTATTCGGGTTTGCTGATAAGACTGCGGTCCGAGCTGGTGAGAAAAAGGTGTGGGGAACTCCGTAATGGGTTCCTCCTACTGCATGACAACGCCCATGTGCACAGGGCACAACAAACAGTCAAGACAGCAGAACAGTGCAGCTTTGAAATCCTGCCTCACCCAGCTTATTCACCAGACCTAGCCTCCTTTCAGACTTTTTTCTGTTTCTTAATCTTAAACAATCACTGAAAGGACGTCGTTTTCATGAAAACGGAGACTCCATTTAATCTCTGGAAGACTGGTTAGGGGCCCATTCTGGGTCATTTTTTTCTTAAGGACTTTTAAAGGTCAAAGAGAGGTGGCAGAAACGTGTCATTATGCATGGTGACTATGTAGAGAAATGAAGGGAAGTATGTCTGCCAATTTACAAAGCTCTATCTTTACTCCTTCATATTTAGGCCAAGGACTTCTTGAACTCCCCTCGTATTTATTGGAATTTTAAAACCGTCTTGGTATCTAGTAAACAGAGCATTGTGATATTTCAGCCACTTTCTCATCTAATACAAATAGGGTCTACCTAAGTATTTAGGAAACCAAAAGAGACATGTATAATGACAGGAACAATGTCCGCAGAAAAAGGGGTGGTCTGGCCACATATTTGTCGAATCTGTATTGGGAGAATGCACCCGACAATTTATCAGGATAGAGGGAAAACGTGTGTGTATGTGTGTGTGTGTGTGTGTGTGTGTGTGTGTGTGTGTGTGTGTG